ACCTTATGAAAAGTTCAGCAGTCATTAACTAAGCAAACGTGCTCTATCTGCTAAGAGAAAATGCAATGTTAATAAAAACGATCCTCGGACGTGCACACACGAAAAAAGTGCTGAAACAATGGGTGTCCCGGCGTCATTAGCAGATGGTCTGTTTTATCAGCAAAACTCGTTAATATTCATTTGGGGTTATACCTGGCCAAATGTGTTTTATCAAAAGTTATGATCGTCTCTCTGCGCCGGAATTTTGACAATATGTTTCATTTAGAGAATGATATACCTATGTGAAATCTATACATTTGATGAACCATGCCATACAATGGAATGTGATTTGTCAATATTCGTTTGAATTAAAAATTGTTAGGAACATTTTCATGTATGATAGTGTAAATATTTATGACAAACAATACACACATTTTTCAAAGCCGAAAGTAAACGCTTATAATTACAAAATGATATGGTACTCAACTCACATTTTACAAAGACGTTGAATGTTTCAAAATGATAACTGACCCAAAATTGATTTGAAAATTAGGTTATCGACATGCCTATCTTTAAATTCAAATGAAACATCATACCATACAAATATGAAATTCAAAGTGTGGTGGAAGTGATATCAAAAAGGAGAGTGAGAAAAACCATTAAAAAACTAATATTAGAATAGATAAAATAGGTATTTCTGAATCAGTTCAAAATTGCATTATTTGCCAGTCGATCAATTCTTCCTACGTATTTTCTTGTATTTTATAACGTTGAAACTGATAATCTGTAGCGGAATTCAATACTCACTCTATAAATACTTCAAGCGACTGTGTGATTCGTAATAATTACTATTATTGGAGGTCATCAAATTCAGAAACAAGAAATATTTACGCTTACGTCGGAGGATATTGATGTCATTTTCACAGTCTGTCATATACAGTGCATTTCTCATACCTAGTTTCTAGTTCGTGAAGATAATCACTTGGTGATCGAAACACGTGTCGAGGTGTAAAAATAACGATTTGGTGTCGGAAAAAACTCCGGTAATATTCATTACTACACCAAAGGTTCCAAACAGTATATCACAATTACTTGGTTTTCAGTTTTACTAGTAGAAAGATACCACGTCAACAATCTCTAAATTGGTCAATTCTCGTCCATTGGAAGAGAAAATTGAAGTGATTTTTATTTACGGTGTGACGCGTAACTTTCACGAGAACCGAAAGGATTATCAATGTACGTTTTCCAAATTGTCCTATCTGTAGAAAATATTTGAGGGAACTTGTATCCAAATTCACAACTACCGGAAGAAGAGCAAGTGCAAATAATTGGTGAGATGGTAGTAAATCCTGAACAGTCTACTCATTCCGTCGCGAATGTTTGTGAGGTGTCTCCTTCTACTATGTGGAGACTTTTGAAGAGGAATAGGTATCATCCATACAAAATTAAAATAGTACACCAATTAACTGAAGATGACCCTGTTCGAAGAACAGAATTCTGCGAAATCATGACGGAAACAATTGCAAGGCATCCTACCTATCTCCACAATGTTTGTTTTAGTGACGAATGTACATTTTTTCCAAACGGCAATGTTCACAGACAAAATTGCCGTTATTGGAGTGACACCAACCCTCACGTTTTCCGGGAAACACATACCCAATATCCAGAAAAAATTAACGTTTGGGCAGGAATATTGGGAAACCATATTGTAGGACCTCTATTTATTGATCAAAATTCAACAGGGGAACTGTATTTGAATATGCTGGAAACGACTGTTGATCCTCTCATCACTGAAATCGTCGAAGCGAATCCTAATGAATTCGATATGGATATTGTATTTCAACAAGATGGAGCACCACCACATTACTCCGGACAAGTAAGAAACTATTTGGATACTACTTTTCCCGGTCGTTGGATTGGCCGTCGAGGTCCTACAGAATGGCCAGCCCGCTCACCAGATTTCACACCTTCGGACTTTTTTTATGGGGCTATTTGAAGCAAAAGGTGTACGAAACTGAACCTGCTTCGAAATTGGATATATCGCAGAGAATAATAAATATTTGTCGCTCAGTCGCCATCTTGAAAGTTTCACCTGTCAATTTCACTTCAAAATAAAAGTTTTCATGCATTGATTTCACTATTACAAATGATTTTGGAGTTGACCCGTTCAAAAAATAAAAGGGGGAAACTTTTAAAAAAAGCACTGTATGCATTTATTCATTCGTCATGTTTATAATATATGCTGTGTAACATTCAATATTTGATTACTGATATGGTACATCTAGTGTCGAAACAAGCAGTGTTGGTCCAAATACTATTTATGCAAAAAAATTGAATGAAACGTAGAAATTATCTAGTATTTTTCACTCTATGCATGGTATCGCTCAGATAATCTTTATTATTGCAATAATAACAGCTGGTAATTTTTCACTACTTGATTATTAGGAATGATTATCCATAATGAACTGATAAAATACAAAGATAATTCCCCACACAAACTCTAGAAACAGTTGACAACAAATGTAGTTTGTCATTTGTCTTCTTTTCAGTAATGGTAATTTTGATAAATGGATGTTCTCAATCAAGAATTAAGACAGAATTGTTGTAACAAAAAGATAGCAGAATAGAGGCACAGCTCCATTGTTTTCAGATTACATAAATATCCTTTATTAGTTCTTTTTATGGAAAAGGGACCTTGACGGTTACGTGGACTCTCGGAATCATGAAACAGTTATGAAAGAAATCTCGTAAAGGCTTGAAAATATAGGATTATTATTAATTTAAATGTTTGGTAAAACGTCTGTATCGAGTTAGCAAGAGAACATTTGTTAAAAATCGTGGACCGTAGCGCCCAAAAAAGTGAACTTTCGTAAATCATCCCAAGTAGAATAGTTCTGTCTATTTCGAACAGATTTCCATTAAATTTGTGGCACCGACCACCAGACCAGAACTGAAGTCGAGCAAGAAAATTATCTTCCACCTAATGGGATCTTTTTATGCAAAGCGATTATCTAACTTCTCGAATGAGAAATTAAATCGCCTTGCAAAAACTGTAAAACCAAAAAATGTAATACTGCTCATCTCTCCGTGTCAACAAAGAAAATTATACGTAGGTCTTTTATGGAGAATATTTAAAACGTTTCGTTCCCGAAAGATAAGCATTGTGAATTATGAACGGCTGCATGACGTGGAATAGTAAATGGAAACTTTTACTGAGGAAATTGGGTGGGGATGAGCTAAGATTTTTGTTTCGAATTGATCGAATGAATTCATATTGAGGCTGCTACACTGCGTATATCTATATTGGGAGGAGGGATATGTTAATAATTTTGCTGATATCGGCATTTTAGTCAGTTAATATTATATTACTCATTATTTTGCAGCAGAAAAATATTTATCAAAATTTAATTTTGTTTCGTTTGAAAATATGAAGATATAAAAGTACAAAATGAGCGTATTTATAGAAAAAAATAATTGTGGCCTGAAATGAAAATAAATAAAAAAGATTGGGGCTCAAACAAAAAATACAATACAGAAAAATAAAGAAAATAACAAGAAATAACGGTGAAAATTAAAAAAAAGGTGAATTTCATGAAAATGAATAAGGAGATATTCCAAAGCAAGGTTTATTACATTTTGATTGTTAGTACCTACCCGCAATCAAGATCAACATTATACTTATATCAATATATTTGCAAAAACCTGAAATTGCCGTATTTCTTGTGGCTCTACCGCCTTCATTTCAAATAATGTGAAAATACATCCAACGAACATTTTTACTGTTTCATGATCTGACACGTTTTGTTAATTGGATTTCGTTTCTTTTTTGATATCATTCAATTCTCCCAAGTATTAGAGACCAAATTTTTTTCAACGTAAAACTTGAAGACATACATTAACTTAGATCGATGTGAATACCCATGCGTTTCATGCATTTTTATATAAACGAATTTTATATAAGCGAATTTGGCGTTATTTCAAGACTCATATATTTCTCGACGTTTCTATTTGAAAACCGTCATCATTCGGTATCTGAAAAATGTCTTTCAATTATAGTCCAAATCCTCTATTGCTTTCACAGCAGGTATAATGAAAAAAAGCAGGTTTGGCAAGGTTAAACCAACATGCTTGAAACCATGGTTTAAAACAAGGTTTGAACCAACCGGTTTTTTAATAAAAAAACTATTATTGGGTTTTTCTCTCTATGTGCCAACAATGGAAAAAAGTCGAATAATATTCCATCCTTTCATGGACTTTTCTCCAATTTTTCTTAGTTGAAAAACATTTGAAATAAATATGCATGTTCCAAAAAACAGTTTTCAAAACAGTATTTGTCAACTGTAACAAAAACGCGGAGAAATGTATGCGAACATTCTCATCCAACTGCCAAGTTTCGAAGGTATTCGAATTGTAGATACAAATAATATATATCAACCTATTTTCTAAAGAAAAACTTCGAGAAATACGAATTTGTTATGATAGTGGCTACTAAAAGTGACTATAAAACTAAGCAACTTTTGTGCAATTTCACGAACCTTGCAAAACCTAGACGAAATAGCGGGATGAGTTGAAAAACAAGTTAGCCAAACAAGTAAAAATGGACATTCTGAAAAAAATGGCATTATAAAAATGTTGATGAAAATTTTATTCCTTTACTTGAGGCTTATCACTATCATTTCACGTACCTACGACATTCATCAAGTATTTAAATGATACCTAATTTTTTAAAGCAAATCAAAATGTGTTCATTCAATATGAAATGGAAAAAATATACTGCAATAAAAAAAGTGCCACGATTTAAAATCGAAACGACTTGTTCTCAGTAAATGAAAATACGTGCAAAAAAGGGCTCCAAGAATCCTTTTTTAAATTCCGCTGTTTAAGCACTATTATATTCTCTCAAATAAACTCCTGCTACCTTGAAAAACATAGATTCTGAAAAAATTCATTAAATTATTGGGCAATAACATTCAAAAATGTAACATATTTTGTTATGATAACCCCCCTTAATTTTTTTTCAGAAATTTGAAGGAAGCAATCAAGTGCATTCATACGTACACAAGACACTGCATGAATAAAGAAGAAAAACAAGCATTCAGGGAACTCTTCAACGGAACAGGAAAAATGGTACACGAGCTCTGTAGAGAAGGAGTTTATCAAGAAGGTAAAAATCATAACTGTTTTTCGATAATTGTCCAAATCTTCTATTGCTATCACAGTCGTGTAGAAGTCAGATAATATTCCTTTATTTCATGAAGAAGTAGAAAGTCAAAACCTTTCTTTCCCAAAAATCGTAACTGTTTTAATTTTAACAAGTTTTCAAAAATATTTTGACATCTCAGCAAAGGGTAACCTTTTCTTGATTCACATATGGGCAGTGTCCAACTAAAATTGACTACCAAGCACACCCAAATATTTCAATTAGATACCGAACTCATTTGAATTAATTGAGATGAAAGAAAAAAGGGGGCGCTACAAAAAACATTATTTTGTTCCAGAATACTTGAGGCACGCCCCTTGTATGTCGCAGGTGGCAGGCGAAAGTGAAGTTTGTTTCAGAAGTTACACCAAAGCTATGCAAAAAATCCAATCAGACTCCCCACCAGAAATCAAAATATCAGAATTGAGTATAGATACCGTTTTAAGAAAGAAAAGGAGGCATGCAGCTGATGAAGGCATCAAGAATGTTTGCTGGTGAGTATTCAAATATATTATAACTACTATCGATTTCTTCGAATTTTTTTGAGAATATATTCGATTCACTGTGTAAGTTTCTAATATTGTTCTTGATTTTATATTTTGTTTCAAATTAGTTCTATGCGACATTCTCTACACTACTACATTTCTTAGTATATTTCACAAGTCTTTTCTTTCCAGTATCATATTTACACTGGATCATTAACTTCTCAAGTAGTTTCCATAATGTGAGAAAAAAATATTGAACTTTTATCTACTTTTCTACACATCATTAGCTAATAATGTTATACCTTAACTCTTATATTCGTTCCAACAAAAACCAACAAAAACACACCGTGTCGAGCCAAAGAGTAAAATGGCAGTAACTCTGATCATGCTCATTTTTAATTCATTTTACTCGTGTTAACATTTTCATGTGGATTCTGGCTCTTAAATGAATGTGCTGTAATACTAGTGCACGTGAAGTTTTCATAATCAAGTTCAGTTTTAGATAATTGTTTCGCAATTTGGTAAATGGTAAATTTTAAAGTTTTTATTAAATTTCAAATTATAAAGTGAAACTAAACAGAAAATTTCACTTCATCTAATTTTCGAACTAAGCAGCATGGACTTTCATACAATGGTTTAAACTAGCTTCCGTTTCCTCCACAACATTCTGAATAATATCAGGTGTATTCTACAACACCTGATGATAAATTTTTGCCATAAATTATAAGTAGTTGGGTGCGCTTCTTAGAATTTTTATTCCAATCATCTCCATAGAAAAAATCCAGTGGAGTGAAATCAGGGGTTCTGGGTGGCCATTCTGTAGAATGTCTCCTTTGAATCGATCTACCCGGAAAGTTATCATCGGGGAACTGTCGCTCTGGTACCTCGCAATGAGGAGGAACCCCATCTTGTCAAAACACTTTACACAACTTGATCATTTAGGTTTGCTTCCAAAAAGAATGGTCCCATGACTCCCGTGGTCCTATGGTTACCTAAAATTCATGTCCAAACATTCAGTTTTTGATGATATTTGGTGGAATTAAGAGTGCCATATTGGGATTTAAATCACTCCGGTAACGAAAATTTTTAATTCTGTTGAATTCATAGTCGTTCAATTCACCCGTAAATGTAAATAAGTTATTAATTTTCAGAAATGAAGCTAATGCAATGGTTTTCACAACAATTTCAACCATGTCAGTTTTTGATCATTGTAGGACATCAATCAATATTTAACTTAACCCTGGCACTTTAGTTCTACTCTTTGTTTTCAAAACCAGGTCACGATAAATTAGAAAATTCTGACTTGGTTCAAAGTATATTCATACAATATTCCCAGCTTTGACATTGCTGTACAGTTACACACTGTATCATGAGAGTATCAATATTCAAATCTCGATAATAGCATGAACAAAAGAGTCTCTAATCCACTACAATCCGAGTTGGATATTTGAAAGAACATTATAAGTTCAACAGTTGAACAAGCTTTGAATAATATAAAGGAATATTATGTTTGTGTAGCAAAATGAAAATAGAAATGCATAAGCCTTGCCTGTCTAGTATGAAAACGAGCATGATATATTGCTTCAAGCTTTTGTATTCGTTTGAAAAGATTTATGATTTATGTCTATATCAAGGGAGCGAATAAAAGCTCAGAGTGTTACTCGAAAGCGTTCAAGTTTTATTGAAATCAAGACTCGTGACGCGCTGAAGAGACTGGAGAATGGACATCCGAGAATAAACAGTTGAGAATAAAGAAATGCTATTAACACGCACATTTGGACAAAAATTACCAGTATTCACTTAAGAATAATACTCTTCGCAAGACGAATGCAAACTTTATTTGTGTGAACAGGGATGTCGAGTTCTCCTCATTTTTCCACTCATTATTTTCCGCAGCGGCCTCAAATTGTTTGCGTTAAACTGACCATGAAGATTCGCCATCGAAAATTGGGAAATTAATAAAACTACTGCTAGAAGTCAGAGATGTTGTTTCCGCTTTGCATTTTTCCACAGCGATCCTCTTCGGCTCCGGTGATTCTTTCCGAAGTTCCCGGAAAACCTCTTCAAATTTTGGTCGACTCCTTAAAGCTTTTCTTTGAATTTCCTTTCAACGTAATTTTTCAAGTTCCCTCTTTATTTCCTGAAATACTTTTCCAAATTATTCCTAAATAAATTCCTGTACCTCACCTGTAGTCACTTGAGAAGATGTTATTCCTTCAAATCAATGAAGATACATTTGATTGTCTCTTTCTTGTTTTTCCTGAATGATTTACGATTCTCTCTGTCTCTTTCTTGTTTTTGCTGAATCCTCAGTAGTAATTCACGGTCTTCATTTCGGCGTAATCGTTCATCTTTCTCTCTTCTGAGTTTTTCTCCTTCTCTTCTGCGTTCATCTTCCTTCCTTCTGCGAAGAAAGGAAAATGAACGTCGTAGTCGACACTCTTTGTTTTCACCATGAAACAGAAACTTTTCAGTCGATTATTCCACTAAATGTTACGTTTTCTCTGTGGATTTGACAATAATTGACTATACTGTACAATTAAACTCAACTTTATTCCACTGCTACACTGACAATACAACACTAATACAATACAACACTACACTTCGTACCGCACTTTCAACTAAAGTTCTCGATCTGCATGTTGGTAGTGTTTATATATGTTAATGTAAGTCTCCGGAAGCCCTGGAATTTTCTCCAAGTGACACTATCTAGAACAATCGCGAAGCGCGACCTTGGAAAGGGCATATTCGATTGACGGCAACCAGCGGCGACCGGCGTTATTTTTTCAGTGGATGATTTATAACAGTATTTTTCTGCTAAATCCAATACATTTAGAATCTTTAAATACTTTTAGAATGCCGTTTAATGTTTCAGTACTCTTACCATGTTGTTTATTGGATGAGTATAATTAGTTACATCATATTGTCATCGTTCAATATGTATGACATACGTGTTACTTTCGACATAATCTCATTCCTACTTAGTTATTTTTATTGAAGAATACTGATTGCTTTCATGTCAGTTGTAACTTTTTCTTAGGTGTCCACCTCTTGTCTTGTTATTATTTTTCTTTCTGCCTTAGTTGCTTTAGGTTAGGTTAAATATATATTTTTTCTCATCCCTAGAAACATTACATGTTTATACTCGTAGGAAATGCAAACTAGTTTATAATATTTCAACGTCGATTCATTCAATATAATTTCAATTTTTGTTACAGTGCATTTCAAGAGTTCATCGAATGTTCAACGCACGCAGTCAGACGCAGATGTGGAGATGAATCTGCCAAATTCAGTCATAAATTTTTCAACAAAATGTCTGCCACTATGTTACAGGTAGGTATTTTTATACTATTATTTTTTTCCTCTCTATCATTATACAAAATTTAGGTAAACTTTCGAAGAACGAAAGTAATTAATTTCAGAATAGTAATAATAACAATAATGACCTTGGCTTATCAAAGCGCCTGACTTTTGTTTTCCTCAGGTCGAGTGGGTTGAAGTCGGAAACTGAGGGGTTCATCATGGCTTGCCTGGATGGTGTCTTCAACACCTCAGTCTACCGCAGTCGCGTGATGGGTATAATAGTTCCTGAAACAAGGTGCAGGAGCTGCCGCGAGACGTCCAAGACCCTAATGCACTTGCTATCAGCATGTCAGGCATATGCGGTCTCGGCCTATATCCATCGACATAACGCGGCCCTAAGAGTGCTCAGGCTCATACAAGCTAATAAGCCTGACGTAGTCATTCTCGACCACCAGAGCAATACGATATTTGACGTGGAGTTTTCAGCTCCTGGCGAGACGAATATCGTCCGAAAGGAGAAAGAGAAACGGATGAAATATCGAAATTTTCTCTTCGAACTCCGCAGACTCTATCCAGACCACTCTGTCAAGATGGTTGTTCTGATTATTGGAGTCCTTGTTGGAATGATGCTCTTTCTACTCTCGAATTTCAAAATCATACCGGCCTGCCGCACTAAGGCAGAAATCTTAGCCGGACAGATGCAGAAGGCTGTCATTCTTTGCCCACTGCGCTTGCTCAGGGCACATGATTCTCGTACCCAATGATCACTAATCCCACGGTGTGAGGAGTGGTCGTTGGTTGATAATGCTGGCGCGCCTCCCCGAATGTATTGGGGCTGCGGGGAGTAGGGCCTGACCAGCGCATACTTCGGTATGAGCAGGGGTGGCCACTATCACCTGAGGCATTTTGTGAGTTACGCCACCACTTACCCGAGCAACTGATACAAAACCGGACCGGCAACCCAGGCGAAACCGGGAAGGAGAACAATACTCTCCCTCCAGTGCCGGCCGTGGGAGTACAGGGCTAATCACCTGAAAGACCCAAAATATGATTCCTGGTAGTCGAGAAAGGGGCCCCAACATTCGACCTGCTCGGTGGGGTCAGAAACAATATGATGGGTCCCATAACGATAATTTGCCTCCCTGGCAATGACGCTTTGAGTGAACGCATGAGCCATAGGCCTTATGCATTAATACAAGAGCAGTGAGTCCGGGTGAACAAGGTAGATACGTGGCGAGAATGCATCCGGAGCATATTGCCTTTTCCGCCCAAAACCGTCGGGATCAGGTATCTTATCTTCGGCGGCATGACTATACCTATAGCTCCTCCCCATCCTGATAATGAAGTGGTAGCTAAGATCTACCACTTACGCATGCTATCTGTAGCGGCAGGACTATATAACTTCCCCAGCCTGCTAACCAAGTGGTAGAAGTGGCACTTCCACCACCCGTTGGCATGCTGGAGAGGAGACTCGCATCTTGCCACCAATGGAGATGATCGGAACACGTAGGATGCTTCACAGAATTAAACCCCTGAAGCCACAAGAACTGGCTTGTTTAGATGCAGAGATACATAGTGTTTCTACAGAAGAGGTTGATACTGTCAAATTTACACTGTCTTGTTCAGCGTCGTCCAATCGCTTTCCGAGTCGGAAGGATGGTTTGGAAGATTGAACAGCGTGCAAACGAGATGGAGGCTAAGATCACGTTTGCGAGAAAACACGCGTGTCGTATCCAATGTGCGATGGATAACAGCGTAGCCAACAGGCCTTTCACATTTGCAGTGAGACAAATAGCTACCAAATTACGACGTATTCATCACACTTTGGGTCAAGACGTGCTGCTTACCACCAAACAGCACCGCCTTAATAGGATACGAATTCTAGTATTAGCTAAGAAATTACTAGTGAGGCGAGCGAGAAGTATCGCGGAAAACCTCAGGTTCCGCTAGAAATCTCACGTATTTCAAGAGCCTCTTCGTGATCAGGTGGAATCTTTCTGAACACCTGCAGCCACTCAACTTAGACACTACAGCCCTAGCGCAGTTTGAAGCTTTCAGCAGAGAGCTTTAACAGCTTCAATGCACTGCGTTAACCGATATCCCTGGATGACGTTCGAAGAACCCTTGTGGGTTTCAAAAACTTTGCTTTTCCGACCCAGATGGGTAGAATACTTATTGATGGAAAATAACTGCCAAGCATACACTGTCGTATGGCCAGAGTTTTCAACTCATGGCTAGGCGAGGGGCGGACCATTCTCATCCTCAAAAGCGGACATGTGTTTATTCCTAAGAATTACATACCGATAACATAACAGTAGTCGAAAGGATATATGAGCAGAAACAGTCGACGAGAGGAGTCGCTAGATATCAAGAGAATCTGCTCATCGATAGATGTGTAATTCGACTCGATACAGTAACAGGACTCGATACAATGTGAGCATAACCTTTCTATGGCCTGGGACGATTACCGCAAGGCATTTGATACAACATCGCATGAGCTCATCTTGCATTTTCTCAAATGCTTCGCAGGTCCCAACAAAATAGTGAGATGCCTTGAGCATATGGGTGCCCCCCCCCCGTAAACCGGAGGCATTAGGTCACCCATTTGTTTTATTTAGATGATCTTGAAATGTATGCCTTTGGAGAAAAGGATCTTCATCAGTCCTTGAGAGTGGTGGAAGAGTTCACATATGCCATCGGTATGAAATTCGGTATATACAAATGTGCAACGATCCATCTCAAAGGTGAACGATGTGGGGACTGAAGAGAGGATGTGCAGCTCGTAGATTGAAGCTGGAACCCGTCCAGCAAAAGGCCCATATAAAATCTGCAGTGATCACTTCACTAATGATGCGGCAACGCATGGGGTCTTCTTCAACAACATTGAAGACCCCTGCTTATCAAAGCGTGTGATGAATGAAGAATTTTTTTTAAATATAGGCATTCGGTATGATCATTATTATGATTGATGAATGCGACAATTCTCAAGCTAGCTTGAGGCTTTATTTATTTTTTCTAAACGAATTGCTAGTATTTATGCGATTTTTTTTTGTTTCAGCTCCATTGTTCCAACTATGGCAGAAGAGAATGTGGAATGATGTCCTCCTCCGTTTCATTACAAAATTCAGTTTTCGTAATTCTAGCACTGAGCTTTTTTCAACTACTTGTACGATAAACTGTAATTGTTGAATTGTATTAGAATTTCGAATTTCTGTATAAATAGAATATGGAGAGCTATCAGTATTTTTATAAATTATTGTTATAGAAGGGGGAATAAAATTCAATGGAAAAACAAGACGATTTGGATTAAATAGGCAGTAGAAGATGTGTAATTTTTTTCACTTTTCCGTTCATTTAATACATATCGTCAGTTTTCAGACTTATAGGTATTATAATTATCATGGAGTTTTTCACAATTCACTCTTAGATTAGTTTTAGCACAAACGCTAGCCTTCTGAATAGAAGAGGCTGTGGTTTCATAAATATATTATTTTCAAAGACTGATAGAGAGGTATTTAGGAGTGAAATACGCTCTAAGATGTAAAATGGTGATTTTACAAAGAACTTGACCAATTATACTCTTCAATTTCCTATATAAGCAAATTTCAATCTAGAATTCATGCTGTATTCGGAACGATTTTCGTGAAAAAATTCCTACATTGTTTGAATCAAATTAACACCGAAAGGTACTTGAACATATCTCACATTTTTTGTAAAATCACAAACAATTTTCAGAGTATTGTAAATTGAAATCCATGACATCTGTATATTTATTCCGATTTCACCTAGTAGGATTTCTCATATCATTAACATATCTTTTTAGGGTTAAGGTTGAAAAATGTTGAGGCTGAACGAATCTATCATTGTCTCTGTTCCTTACAAATTATCTATTGTTACCTTTTCTATAGTAGGCGTCTTGAGTGGAAAGTTGTAAAACCAATAAGGAAATCAATCGTAGTCTCAATATGTTCGAAAATATCGAATTTACTAGTTTCTACAAACGAATATATATTGAATTGTCAAATAGTAATATCAAATAGATTTTCAGAATGGTACATTCAGCAAATAGTTTAAAAACACATCTGGTATTCATCTAAAATCTAGCTATTAACAAACAACAATCAATAAAAAGTCAACACTTACAATAATTTTCTCAATAGAATTCCATATTTGATACATCTGACGTCAGACATTATTGCAAAACAGTAATTGAGGTATTGGAATCAGTTATAAGCCAAAAATTATCTTGTTTTGTAGTTCCTACATATATCTAGTGGAAAATTGTTGATATATACATAGAAAAATATTGAAGTTTAGAGAGTTTATGTACGTATTTATTTGAATTGTATTTAATTGTCCTAATTGAATGACGGTCGAAGTAACTCGGCTTGCATGTAGTAGAAAATTGTATTCTTTCAAAAAATTGTTTTAACATAATTGTGTGCGTTGATTCGGCAGATGTTTCCAAAAGTAAAAGACTAATCTGGAATATTTATTCAACATCATTCGCTTTGAAGTAAATTATTTTACCGTCCATATGTAAATGCCATTTTATGTAAGTTATGTATGAGGAAGTAGGGGTTTTGCCAAACTCAATATCTGTGTACTACATACATCTTTGTATGAATGTGTGAGGAAGTTGGATTTTAAATAAAAATAAAAGCATTTCAAAAACTTGTTTTTTTTTATTAATTGTCATTATATTTTTATATAGAGGAAGATTAAAACTGAGTTTTAATCTTCCTCTTTGAAGATGATCACTTGGTGATCGAAACACGTGTCGAGGTGTTAAAAATAACGATTTGGTGTTGGGAGAAAACTCCAGTAATATTCAGAAACCTACATACAAAATTTTACACCTTTTTCGTGTTATAATCTATATGCACTTTCGAATCACAGTGGGTCTACCCACAGCGGACATCATACAGCATTCTGCAGACATCCTTATACTGGCACGTGGTACGAATACAATCATTCACACGTGTCACCAATATCACCAAAATCGCTTGTGATTGTTATTGTATACCCTTTCGATATATACAATGAAATAATTACAATTATGATAAAATATTTGTATGTATGTAGTATGTTTTATGAATCTTTTAATTTATACAAAAAATATGTTTGCTTCATACTGTTTTCATAAAAAAAGCAAGTTTAGGTAGGCATCAGTTTGTATATTTTTTCAAAGAAAATCAAAATTAGCACCTACGGTAATCCCGTATATTATTGTATTTGTCAGTATGAGTCAAGATTACAGTGACATTAGTAATAATCTAGTTTCTCAAAATTTTGTAAACAAAAACCAAACGATATTTCATAACACAAATTTACTTTTTTTTCGCTCGAGCTGGTTCAAGATTTTACCACCACACTATTTATAGCAGTTTCAATTTATATAGTCAAACTCGCACTGCTTCTCAAACAATGGCGCTGAAGGTTGAAATTGGTTTCGGTTGAGAGATGGCAGCACTTCCACTGTACTAAAGTGACTTCACAAGAAACATTCAAATACATTTGGAAATCAAACTAACGGCAAGATCATACTTCACAGGATCATTTCTGTAGTAGATCTTCGCATACTCTCTACTCAAATGTAGAGTTGTCGCAACCATGATGACGAGTTGTAACCTTGTGTCCTGAGCGTGAGGCAGATAATATGCATATATTTGTATGCATTTGTCATCGATGATCGTTCACTCACTGGATACATCCAGTGAGAATGGATGCATGGTATTCTGAGTGGTTGCATATTCTATAAATTTAAAGATAAAATTCACAAAGCACCAAGTTGTAGTGTTATGAATCGTTCATAATCGTTTTTAAACCCTTGAGAAAGTGTGAATTTACTAAGCTATTAATTAAATCCGTCACATTGTCGAAATTTCTAAGATGGTCTGAAGTCATGTTCAAATTTCACATTTCGGTTTAATTTTGAATTGAAGCCATTAATTACGAATTTGACTTTATAGAGACAAATGATTAAAAAAAGATATCTATTACACTCAAATTTGGCTCTGGATATATTCTTTCGACATAAATAAATCATAAACAACATCGTATAAAAAAATCCTCACAGAAAATTACTTTGGGGATCATAAAGATATAATCTACATCTACGAAAGCATACTCACAAAAAATCAGTCTCATAATTTAAATATATAAAGACACTCATTTTATACAACATTTTATGAAAAAAAACTAGCGATCCGCCCCGGCACTGAATATGAATTCACCCACCGGACATTTAAGGACATGGAGAAGATAAAAAGGTAACTATCTTCATTTAAAAACTATTTAATACAGTTTATTGTATGAACGCGCCTATTTCCCCCGCGGCTGGCGCCGCGGGCGAAATAGGGGGAAAACGAACCTACATACAAAATTTCAGCCTTCGAAAATATAGCGGTACGGAGAAACAGTGATGAGGGAATTTTATTATGTAAACACACCCTTTTATCTCCAGGGGGGGGCTCCCTAGTTGGAATATTTGAAAATCCTTTCTCAGTGCGCATTTAAGACATATACGAAGCACCTATATACCAAATTTCAACTTTCTAGGTTCGAAAAAAAATAATTAATTCAGTTTGTTGTATGATGTTCACAAAAAAGGGTTTTACAAAAACCGCGACACGTGTTTCGCTATACTAATAGCTTCCAAGCATAAACTGTATGATTGCACAAAAAAGGGTTTTACAAAAACCGCGACACGTGTTTCGCTATACAATAGCTTCCAAGCATAAACTGCTTGAGCTATAAAACAAAACTTAAAAATGGTGAAATGTTTTTAAATTTGGTAAAAATGGTAAACTTACAATAAAATATTTACAATTGAGCAAACAGATTTTTTGCATAAATTTAAAGATACATATAACATACATGTAGTATGTATGTTAGGTATGTAACCTAGAAATATTTTATTGTAATTGTAAAAATATATTTCACACTTGACACTAACTTTCACAATTTTAGTTTCATTTCCAAGGCACTCTATGGTTTTTTTTGTTTGTCAAAAACGGCAAAAGTTTATTAGGCAATTTTTGTTTTCAAATTTGACTACACCACTGGATTCGTAGTCGTTATAAATCAAAACTGTCAAATTTTCATTAAAAAATATTTGTTAACAACGAAGTTACAACAACTTCAATTTTGGAAACAAAGTATTTGTTTGTAATTTTTATTCAGATTATAGACATATTTGAGATCTGACAACACTGTCATCACCAAGTAGAACACCAGTGAATTTGTACAGTGAAAATCCGAAGTCAACAGCTCAATGCGTTCTACAGTTATAACTCCTGAAAATATGGTAATGTGAGAGATTTGTGGTGCAAGNTTTAAAAAAATGGGCCGATCCCGGCGGTACTGCAATACCGGGCCAACCCGCGACGGAGGTGGAGCAAGCCCCTTAACCCTCCATCAACTTCCAAAAATAAGTTTAATATACTGGCCCCGCATGCGGGGCGTATCAGATATTAAGCTGATAAGAACAGATACTACACTTTGATCTTAGCCAAGGGCCGAGAAGCGATAAAGAAAATAGTTAGTTCACCGGGTGTTATCGAGTGAGACTGTGTAAGAATATGCAACGCGTTGCGTTCAACAAATCACGCCATCTACCCATAATTTTTGTAGTTAACAGAGGTACTTGTAATAGGCAAACATTTCAACAAATAGTATACACATGTTGATAAATTGAACAAGAATCGTTTCCAAATATAACCTGGTGTGCGCCAAATCGTACATTGGATATCTTCATTTCATGAGGAATCAAGAAGAATCATGAAGATCAGAGTGTTTTCTTCAATATATTTATTCATGAATAGGGAAGTCATAGTATTGTTCTGCTCACAGAACAATACTATGAATTGAATTATCCCAGAGAAATTGACAAATTTATCATTTCAATGTTCTAAAAATAAGAAAATAAACTATATATTGAATAAAACCAATCAATTTATTCCATTACACAATGTATATGATATAATAAAATTTTTACTTGTTTTATAAAATATAAAACTTGCATATTGTATATTCCTATCATCTACACAGGTGAATATCGCGACTAGTTTTTATATATATTTCGTAAATGTAATAAATTTTTTCAGAACATGTAAATAAAATCTTGTTTATAAATATATATTTGTTAACCATTGATTAATTTTTGATACTTATATCATGTGTGGGCATGAAAAATACCTTTATTCGCCATTTTGGTCGCCATATTGGAATTAGACTAACTACATTTTTCGAAAAATCCTTTCTTTTGATATCTACCTGTGTGATAGGATTGGATTTATAATTTGATACCCATATCATGGGGGTGTATAGATTATACGTCGTATTTTTGAATCTAGAATAGCTTCATGCATTTTCATAAAAAATGAACGTGTTTGCAATGAAAGAAGTAAAAAACTTTTACTCAAAAACAATTTAGATTTTGTGCACAATTCATGAAAAATAGCATAAAAACTAGAGCGAATGTATATAGAAAAAATACACATAGGTAACTGAATGAAAATTGCTAATTATTTTTGAAAATGTTCTGGATGTAGATTTTTCCAAAGAAAGGAAAGTTCAATCTACACAATTTTAATTTTTTTGCCAAATCTGTAAAAAGAAGGGAACTTGAAAACTTGAGAAATTTAGAACCTTTTACCCTCTTCTAGGAATAAAAACAAAACAAAAGGGAAGATAATTGTAAACCCACACAGGTAAGAACTACTATATTCTCACTAATAATTATATATCCCAAATTTAGTATTTACGAAATCCTGAGAGGCTTGTATATACCTCTCCGCTAGGGCACTGATAGGTAAGGGTATTTCAACCAGAATGGTCAAAGATTACATTGGGAACATGTAAGGATTATAGTGCAGGCGCCAAAGGACACTGAGTATGCCAAATGTGAGGACCGGCAAAAATGCTCAAATTTTTTTACCTGAGACCATACACACAAAAAAAACATGCTGCCGGCAGCTGTGATGGTCCCTTCCCTTTCCCCCGCCCTTCTCCTTCTTCAAGCGTCGATGTGTCATAGCGTTCGTAATAGTCAGTAGAAAATAATTCGTTTTAAATTTACAAACTCCAAAAATACATATTGTTGATGGTATAGCACTTGTTCATCGAATCCAATTAAAAAATTTCAACACCTTTGGTGATCTTGCTGAGGCATTCTACAATAAAATCCATACTGTTTTCTTGCAACCAAATGTAAAACAAGTAGATATTGTATTTAACAGATATGATAATATTTCGATAAAATATATGGAATCAACTTTTGGGAGTAAATGTCAAAATATTGAAAATTTTATAATTTCTAACGATCACACTAAAATTCCAACTAATTGTAATAATTTCTTTTCAAGCACTGAAAATAAGTTTCAGCTCGTTCGATTTCTCTGTACTGCCGTTCCTAAATATGCACAGTAATAGAAGTTTGCGAATTATATCTTTGTGGAGGATTTGATGAGCCAACAAAATGTTTTAAATTAAAAATTTAAATTCGAATCATTTAGAAGCATATTCAAGGATGTTTTGTCACATATTTCACGCAGTGAAAAAACATTCTGCTCATATCATAATTCTTAGCGCTGATACAGATGTTTTTATTCTTGGAATTTATTTTTGGAATAATCTAGCACGTCTAGGTTGTTTAGGTCTATGGTTTGAAGGTTCTTATAAGAAGAAATACATTTCAGGGTGTCATTTGGCTCAATCCCTTGGCGAAAACATTTCTNCCAAGCATAAATCCCAAATTTAGTATTTACGAAATCCTGAGAGGCTTGTATATACCTCTCCGTTAGGGCACTGATAGGTAAGGGTATTTCAACCAGAATGGTCAAAGATTACATTGGGAACATGTAAGGATTATAGTGCAGGCGCCAAAGGACATTGAGTATGCCAAATGTGAGGACCGGCAAAAATGCTCAAATTCTTTTACCTGAGACCATACACACAAAAAAAAACATGTTGCCGGCAGCTGTGATGGTCCCTTCCCTTTCCCCCGCCCTTCTCCTTCTTCAAGCGTCGATGTGTCATAGCGTTCGTAATAGTCAGTAGAAAATATTTCGTTTTAAATCAATAAAACGAACTCTGATAGTAAATGTGATGAGAAATGTTCAATTAGGTAATTATAAACATAATTTTCAGCAGAGAATTATTTCCTCTGACAATTAAACTGCGTACTTTTATTTCTTCTTCCTGATACCATTTTGAGAAAACTGTTAGTCACTCATTATAAGTAATGACTATATATTCAGGAGGTTCCTGTCACATTTCATAAAAAAATGTTCGTATCAATGTATACCCAAACTTTCAATAAATTGGGTGGCAAAGTTTTGATGAAAAATTGGTGGTTTTGGTGAAAATAATTGTATACCACAAGTTTTTTGTGAGTTTAATATCAACATCGGATTGAACAAATATACATAAAAATCACAAAAAAATAAAAAGTGATTTCTTGCATGAGCATGAGCTATAGAAGAAAACTATAGGGAAATATTTAATACAACATAATATATATGAAATTTATGAAATTTACAGTCAAAAATGCAATAAGGAATAATGTACCTATGTTGAAATTCCTGATAGCTTAAAGGATCAGGGTTTTGTTCAGTTGGACCACTTTCTCCAATGAAATGAAGTGAGCAAATATAAGTATCCTTGGTAACATCATCAATAGATTTAAAGCCTCGGTCACTCCTGCCACATTTTTTCACCCATAATTCACATTTTTAAATTATAT